GGTGGGTGCAAGATTTGCAGAGGCTGAATGCGGTGACCGTGCAAGATGCTGGAGGACTGCCGAATATAGACGCGCTGTCGGAATCCTGTGCTGGAAAGCCTATAATCTCGCTTATAGACCTTTACTCAGGATATCAGCAGTTCCCAGTCTACCCGCCAGACAGGCCTGTGACGGCTATGCACACGCCGCAAGGGCTAACCCACATGAACGTAGCCCCACAAGGGTGGACCAATGCGGTAGCATCCAACGGGCCATGATTCGGGCTATGCAGTCAGTCAGCCCCCATATCACACAGTCGTACATTGACGATTTGGCAGTGAAACAAAGCGACGAAGCTTCGCCGGGGGTAAGGCGTTTTCTTTGGAAGCACATCCAGGACCTCGAAAAGGTCTTGAGCCTGCTCGAGGAGCATAACCTCACGGCGAGCGGGGCCAAATCCCGACACTGCATGAGGGAAGCGACTATTTTGGGGTTCGTCTGCAGCGAGAAGGGCCGAACGCCGGATGTGAAGAAGACGGAGAAAATTACTGAGTGGCCGGTTCCGTTCCACTCAATAACTGATGTCAGGGGCTTCCTTAGTACGTGTGGATTTTGGAGGGCCTTCGTCAAGAACTTTGCCGCTAAGACTCAACATCTGAGGAAGTTAGTCCGTCAAGATCAGGAATGGGTTTGGGGTGAAGAGCAAGAAGAGGTGGTGGCCAAAATGAAGGAGGAATTTCGAGAAGGAGGGTTGGTGTTAGGAGCACCAGATTATGATGCCACAGAAACACGAACCTTCATTGTCGAAACAGATGCGGGGCTAACTGCCTTAGAAGAAATTATGATTCAGGCAGACATAGAAGGAAAGCAAAGGCCCTTGACATTTGAGAGTCGGACTCTTTGTACGACCGAGAGGAACTACTCTCAGTTCAAGAGGGAGACCCTTGCCGTCCTCCACTGTCTCTGAATCTTCCAGAACTATATCTTCGGCAGGAGGTTTATTTTGAGAGTGGATCCGACCGCCCTGACCTACTCTCTAAGGAATTACGTTCCATCGGATCCGACGGTTGCCAGATGGCTGACGTATATCTGGATGTTAAATTTCGAATTGGAACGGATTCCTGAGAGTAAGAACCGCGCGGACGGGCTGATTCGGATCAAGTTTTCACTGATTAGGGAGCTTGGATGAGTTGCGATTCACCTTGTGAAAGTTTCGTGATGTTTCACTTTGTGTTGATGCTTCAAACTTTGAGTTTTCACTGATTAGGGAGCCTCGATGAGTTGTTATTCACCTTGTGAAAGTTCCGTGATGTTTCACTTTGTGTTTATGCTTCAAACTTTGAGTTTTCACTAATTAGGGAGCTTGGATGAGTTGCGATTCACCTTGTGAAAGTTCCGTGATGTTTCACTTTGTGTTGATGCTTCAAACTTTGAGTTTTCACTGATTGAGGAGCCTGATTGAGTTGCGATTCACCTTGTGAAAGTTCCGTGATGTTTCACTTTGTGATGATGCTTCAAACTTTGAGTTTTCACTGATTACGGAGCCTGGATGAGTTGCGATTCACATTATGAAAGTTTCGTGATGTTTCACTTTGTATTGATGCTTCAAACTTTGAGTTTTCACTGATTAGGGAGCCTGGATGAGTTGCGATTTACCTGGTGAAAGTTCCGTGATGTTTCACTTTGTGTTGATGCTTCAAACTTTGGATTTTCACTGATTAGGGAGCCTGGATGAGTTGCGATTCACCTTGTGTAAGTTCTGTGATGTTTCACTTTGTGTTGATGCTTCAAACTTTGGATTTTCACTCATTAGGGAGTCTGGATGAGTTGCGATTCACCTTGTGAAAGTTCCGTGATGTTTCACTTTGTGATGATGCTTCAAACTTTGAGTTTTCAGTGATTAGGGAGCCTGGATGAGTTGTGATTCACCTTGTGAAAGTTCCGTGATGTTTCACTTTGTGTTGATGCTTCAAACGTTGAGTTTTCACTGATTAGGGAGCCTGGATGAGTTGCAATTCACCTTGTGAAAGTTCCGTGATGTTTCACTTTGTGTTGATGCTTCAACCTTTGAGTTTTCACTGATTAGAGAGCCAGGATGAGTTGCGATTCACCTGGTGAAATTTCCGTGATGTTTCACTTTATGTTGATGCTTCAAACTTTGGATTTTCACTGATTAGGGAGCCTGGATGAGTTGCAATTCACCTTGTGAAAGTTCCGTGATGTTTCACTTTGTGTTGATGCTTCAAACGTTGAGTCTTCACTGATTAGGGAGCCTGGATGAGTTGCGATTCACCTTGTGAAAGTTCCGTGATGTTTCACTTTGTGTTGATGCTTCAAATTTTACCTTTAAGCTGTTCTTGATGAGTGTGTGTGTGGCGCTTCACTTCGGGATACTTCAGTAATGTTTGCTCCTCCTAGGATGCTTGAAATCTTACCTTTATGCTGTCCTTGATTAGTGTGTGTGTAGCGCTTCACTTCGGGACACTTTGGTGATGTTTCCTCCTCCTAGGATGCTTCAAATCTTACCTTTATGCTGTCCTTGATGAGTGTGTGTGTGGCGCTTCACTTCGGGATACTTCGGTGATGTTTCCTCTTCCTATGATGCTTCAAATCTTACCTTAATGATGTCCTTGATGAGTGTGTGTGTGGCGCTTCACTTCGGGATACTTCGGTGATGTTTCCTCCTCCTAGGATGCTTCAAATCTTACCTTTATGCTGTCCTTGATGAGTGCGTGTGGCGCTTCACTTCGGGATACTTTGGTGATGTTTCCTCCTCCTAGGATGCTTCAAATCTTACTGTCGTGCTGTCCTTGATGAGTGTGTGTGTGGCGCTTCACTTCGGGATACTTTGGTGATGTTTCCTCCTCCTATGATACTTCAAATCTTACCTTTATGCTGTCCTTGATAAGTGTGTGTGTGGCGCTTCACGTCCGGATACTGCGGAGATGTTTCGCCCTCCTAGGATGCTTGAAATCTTACCTTTATGCTGTCCTTGATTAGTGTGTGTGTGGCGCCTCACTTCGGGATACTTTGGTGATGTTTCCTCCTCCTAGGATGCTTCAAATCTTACCTTTATGCTGTCCTTGATGAGTGTGTGTGTGGCGCTTCAGTTCCGGATACTTCGGTGATGTTTCCTCCTCCTAGGATGCTTCAAATCTTACCGTTGTGCTGTCCTTGATGAGTGTGTATGTGGCACTTCACTTTGGGATACTTTGGTGATGTTTCCGCCTCGTAGGATACTTCAAATCTTACCTTTATACTGTCCTTGATAAGTGTGTGTGTGGCGCTTCACTTCCGGATACTGCGGAGATGTTTTGCCCTCCTAGGATGCTTGAAATCTTACCTTTATGCTGTCCTTAATGAGTTTGTGTGTGGCGCCTCACTTCGGGATACTTTGGTGATGTTTCCTCCTCCTGGGATGCTTCAAATCTTACCGTTGTGCTGTCCTTGATGAGTGTGTGTGTGGCGCTTCACTTCGGTATACTTTGGTGATGTTTCCTCCTGCTAGGATACTTCAAATCTTACCTTTATGCTGTCCTTGATGAGTGTGTGTGTGGCGCTTCACTTCGGGATACTTCGGTCATATTTCCCCCTCCTATGATGCTTCAAATCTTACCTTTATGCTGTCCTTGATAAGTGTGTGTGTGGGGCCTCACTTCGGGATACTTTGATGATGTTTCCTCGTCCTAGGATCCTTCAAATCTTACCTTTATGCTGTCCTTGATGAGTGTGTGTGTGGCACTTCACTTCGCGATACTTCGGTGATATTTCCTCCTCCTTGGATGCTGTTCACATCGTCCTTTTGCTGTTCTATGTGCACGGGTAGGTTGCTATTCACCAGGTGGTACCTCGCTGTTCAATCCCAGGGTAGGATGCTGTTCACATTGTTCTTTTGCTGTTCTATGTGCATGGGTAGGTTGTTGTTCACCTGGTAGTACTTCGCTGTTTAACCCCTGGGGTAGGAAGCTTTTCACATTGTTCTTTTGTTGTTCTAAGTGCATGGGTAGGTTGTTGCTCACTGGGTAGTACTTCGCTGTTCAAACACTGGGTAGGATGTTGTTAGCATTGATCCTTTGCTGTTTTGTGCGCATACGTAGGCTGCTCATTCACCCGGTAGTACCATGTTGTTCAACCCCCAGGGTAGGATGTTGTTCACATTGTCCTTTTGCTGTTCTAGGTGCACAGGTAGGCTGCTTTTCACCCGGTAGTACTTCGTTGTTCAACCCCCAGGATAAGATGATGTTCATATTGTTCTTTTGTTGTTCTATGTGCATAGGTAGGTTGTTGTTCACCCAGTAGTACCTCGCTGTTCAACCCCCGGGGTAGGATTCTATTCACATTGTTCTTTTATTGTTCTTATGCATGGGTAGGTTGCTGTTCACCCGGTAGTACTTCGCTGTTCAAATCCCAGGGTGGGATGCTGTTCACATTGTCCTTTTGTTGTTCTATGTGCACGGGTAGGTTGTTGTTCACCCGGTAGTACCTCGCTGTTCAATCCCAGGGTAGGATGCTGATCACATTATTCTTTTGCTGTTCTATATGCATGGGTAGGTTGCTGTTCACCCGGTAGTACTTCGGTGCTCAACCCCCGGGGTAGGAAGCTGTTCACATTGTTCTTTTGCTGTTCTATGTGCATTGGTAGGTTGCTGTTCACTCGGTAGTACTTCGTTGTTCAACCCCTAGGGTAGGATGTTGTCCACATTGTCCTTTTGTTGTTCTAGGTGCATGGGTAGGTTGTTGTTCACCCGGTAGTACTTCGCCGTTCAACCCCAGGGTAGGGTGTTGTTCACATTGTTCTCTTGTTGTTCCATGTGCATGAATGGGTTGCAGACCACCCGGTGGTGCTTCACTGATCAATCCCCGGGTAGGATGTTGTTCACATTGCTGTTTTGCGGCTCTAAATGCTTAGGAAAGTATCGACGGCTCACTTCTTGCCGCTTTCTCTCCTTGGAATCTAGAGTTCTGAAAAAGAATGTCTTCACTATTTGCAAGGGGGAACGTGAGGCCAAAACCAATGACCTACGAGAAAAGCCATAAGGGGTAGGGAGTTGGGCGGCAGAATAGATCGGACACGGGAACAAGCGAGCCGTCATCCACACCCGTCAACCATAGCCGATCACCCCCAACCCTTCTCCCTCCTCCATCGCCCACACCCGTCCACCATAACCGACCACCCCACCTCTTCTTCCTCCTCCATCATCCACACCCGTCCACCATAACCGATCACCTCCACCCTTCTTCCTACTCCATCACCCACACCCGTCCGCCATAGCCAGTCGCCCCCAACCCTTCTTCCTTGTCCATCATCCACACCCGTCCACCATAGTCGGTCACCTTCGACCCTACTTCCTCCTCCACCATCCACAACCGTCCACCATAGCCAATCACCCCCAACCCTTCTCCCTTCTCCATCACCCACGCCCGTCCACCATAGCCGGTCATCCCCAACTCTTCTTCCTCCTCCATCATTCACGCCCAACAACCATAGCCGATCACCCCCAACCCTTCTTCCTCCTCCATCACCCACACCCGTCCACCATAGCTGACCACCCCCAACCCTTCTCCCTCCTCCATCATCCACAACCGTCCACCATAGCCAATCGCCCCCAACCCTTCTCCCTCCTCCATCACCCACGCCCGTCCACCATAGCCGGCCATCCCCAACCCTTCTTCCTCCTCCATCATCCACGCCCGTCCACTGTAGCCGATCCCCCCAACCCTTCGTCCTCTTCCATCATCCACGCCCGTCCACCATAGCCAATCACCTTCGAACCTTCTTCCTCCTCTATCATCAACAACCGTCCACCATAGCCAATCACCCCCAACCCTTCTCCCTCCTCCATCACCCACGCCCGTCCACCGTAGCCGATCACCCCAACCCTTCTCCCTCCTCCATCACCTACACCCGTCTGCCATAGCCAACCACCCCCCAACCCTTCTTCCTCCTTCATCATCCACAACCGTCCACCATAGCTAATCACCCCCAACCCTTCTCCCTCCTTCATCACCCACGCTTGTCCACCATAGCCAGCCATCCCCAACCCTTCTTCCTCCTCCATCATCCACGCCCATCCACCATAGCCGATCACCCCCAACCCTTCTTCCTCCTCCATCACCCCCACCCGTCCGCCATAGCCGACCACCCCTAACCCTTCTCCCTCCTCCATCACCCACACCCGTCCACCATAGACGACCACCTCCAAGCCTTCTTCCTCCTCCATCATCCACACCCGTCCACCATAGCCGGTCACCCCAACCCTTCTTCCTCCTACAGCACCCACACTCGTCCACCATAACCAACCACCCCCAACCCTTCTCCCTCCTTCATCATCCACACCCGTCCACCATAGCCGATCACCTGAACCCTTCTTCCTCCTCCGTTGCCCACACCCGTCTACCATAGCCGACCACCGCCAACCCTTCTTCCTCCTCCATCACCCACACCGTCCACCATAGCCGATCACCCCCAACCCTTCTTCCTCCTCCACCGTCCGCACCCATCCACCCTAAGTCTTAGAGGGTTGCAAGGGGGATGCACGGGGCCTCGGGTAGGATCGGTTAGGATAAGTCGATGAGCAAGGTCGATTAGGATGTAAAGCTTCTTGTTCTTTTTTTTTTTTTTTCTCTCTCTCTCTCTCCCTCTCTCTCCCCCTCCATTGCTTTCTCTCTCTCCTTCCCCCTCTCCCTCCATCCTCCTCCATTCCATCAAAAAGTCTTTAACCTTTAACCCTTCCGTTACCCCTCCCCCTCCATGGCATGTGACTAATCTCTGCCCTCACCTGTTACATTGCCAGGGAACGAACAGAAAGGAACTTGGTCCTCACTTGGTGGAAAGCGAGGGCAAGGGAAGGATTGTCGGTCCCTTGTGCCACCAAGAAGGAAAGGATACAAGACTATTGAGGGCATTTGTGAAAGCTAAAGGGAGTGTTGTTCTTGAACGAGGTCAGTTTGACTCAACCATCTCCCTCGACTGCATGACTAAGGTAAATGCATGGGTTGCTTGAGGGAAGGGAGGGGCAAGAAGAACAAGGGACCATGAATGGGGAAGGGAAACTTAGGCTTGCAGGATGGGGCGATATGTTGACCTCGATGGGGATTGTACTTGGACATTTGTTTTGTGTGGTCTTGCGCACGCTAGTAGATGGGGACTATTCAGGCGGGCTGGACCCACGGATGAGGACTAGGATGGGAGATTGGCTAAGGGAAAGGACTTGGATCCGGCTTAAGCCATGGGTGCGGGTTGAGTTTGAGACCGGCGCTTGGGTGGATGCTTGATGCATGGACTCGACTTGTGTGGGATTGCATGGAATGTCTCTCTCTCATTTGCAATGCGACGCCTGAAAAGACTAAGGGCGGTCTTCGGTAAGGGGATGTGATGCTAGCGGTTCTCGCAAAAAATATAGCGGCGAGGGGCCCGGGCGATGCCGCCTTACCCCAAGGATGCCGCCGGGGCTGTCGAGGGCTGCTAGGCTTAGCGAAAGGGTGCGTGGCCCAATGGATGACGCTTGGCCTGCGCACAATAAGAAGACAAACCCTCAATGAACTCCCTGGACTGCTTGCGTATTGGAAGGAGCAATTGCATGGTCAGACTCAACCGAATCGAGAAAACGCCACGAGTGCCGAAATAGCTACCATCTTAACGCGAGAGCGGAGCTACATCCCCCAATGTAAAGCCCTCTCGCAAAAGGTCCATCCCCATCCATCTCAGTGCACTAGGTGGGGATGCCCCTGGGACGAACGACCCGCGCCCTGAGCATGAGCGTGGGCGGGTCGAGCCAAGTGGGACCCGCACTGGGGTCGACGGAGGCTCGAAAGTCCTACAGGGCCTGGCCCCTACAACGGGTGGCCGGCGCGGCAGCCAAGGATCTTGGGCCCGTGCCTCCTTTGGCGAGCCGTTCGGGGTCCGGCGTGTTGGGATGTTGACGAAGTTCCCCCGCCTCGCCCGTCTCGAAGTATGGGCCGCAGAGGTTACTATACGGGAGAAGGGTGGATAGGGGTCGAGCGTCGTAGATCGAGGCTGTCCGGGGGCTCTGTTGGGAGGCCAGAATGATACCACGACAGGCTGCGGGTCGAGGGGAGCTCTCTCTACCTCGGCCCCAAAGTCTCACCTAAGAATTCGCTACCCCAACCTTGGCCTGCGCGGAGGCTCGCCCCGCTGGGGTCCAAGCGGTAGGCCCTGCGGGAGCCGGGGAGAGCCACGACGGAGGTCAAAGGTGACCGGGGAAGGGCGGCTCTGCTCGATGACGATCGGCCGGAGGCACCGAGTGAGAGACATGCAGCGCTGCAATTACGTGCAGCTCTCGTCGGACCCAGGGCGTGAGGGCGAAAAACTAGAGTTATTTGATCATTCCCGTTGCAGTTTTTTCTTTTGGAAACGGGAGCCGCCAGGCAGGTCACTACGCCAGGTGCTATCGGACCGGAAGAGGAGAGGACGACTGGAGCAGGCATGGGGCAGAACGCTACGGGGGCGAAGGAGCGAAGAGGGAAAGTGGAGAGAGAGGAAGTGAACGTGGACTGCATGTCGCGCAGGGCGCATGCGCAGTTGGGCAGAGCGTAGCAACAGGGAGAGCAACAGCGGGCGCTGAAGTGGGCAGCAATAAGGGCAGTAGCGGGCAATTGTGCAGGCAGGCAACAAGCGTTGAGGCAGGAGTAGCGAAGGCAGTGGGAAGTGAGGAATGAATCTGGCCGGGTTTCTGTGCCAGATACGTTTAGGAAAAGAGGTGGTAGAAGGTTGTGGGTGCTATGTGTAGGGGAGTGCGCAATATAGCGCCGGAACGGTCTTCGACTACCAGACACTGTAGGCGGGACAGAGCGACGGAGGTAAGGAAGAAAAGGGGAAACGAATCGGGACAGGAATTGACACCAGGTGCGTGCGCAGTAGGAGGAGATATGGCGGAATGGACAGCTCATAGCTCGCCCGTTTCTTAGCCGAATCGGGCGAATGAAGAGTTGATTTTGGGGTTTTAAAGGTGGGCGACCCCGAATGTAGTGTTAGTTTTAGGATTAGATCAGTAGATTCGGAGTTAGAAAAGAAAGTTTGTGCGCGGAGATGGCGGAAGGTGGAGAGGTGCCGAGGTTAAGAGTACATACCTCACCCGTTTCTCAGCGAAAACGGGTGATTGAAGGAACTATTCCGGGGTTCTAAGTCACGGCGAACTCAATGGCGATGTTAGTTTCGGGCGAGGGCTAGCAGATAGGGAGTTAGCTGAAAAGGGGGCTGCACGGAGGTGTCGAGGACAGCGGGCATGGCGGGAGTAGGAACCGAGACTTCGGTCGATTCTCCATAGAATCGAGCGAGCTAAAAGGTTGGCCAGGGCTTCTGGGACACTATGGCTTGATTAGTGACGCTAGAATGGAGGTCCGAGCGGTAGTGTAATGGTTAGGGAAAGAGGAGGCTACACTCGGGGGTGGAGAGAGTTTGAGGAGCTAATGTATCTTTCTGCGTTCTCGCGGAAAGTTCATTCTCGTTGGTTTTTGTATACATATGTACTGAAACGAGTAGGGGCAAGATAGGGGTTGTAGATTACATTGAACCCATGGGTGAAGCCGGAGTAGAGGGAAGATTAGGAAAGAGAGGATTTTCTGAAATAACAATGTATCTGTCCGCGTTCTAGCGGAAGATTCATTCGATCTTGCTCACCTTTCGGTGGAAGTGGCGAAGGCGGAACCGTAGGAGAATGGGGACTTACCTACTGCTTGAGGTGTCGCCCACCCTGACGAAGAAACGTCAGTGGTGTGACTGGAGTGAGCCGACAGTACGTCCCCATGCAGTCAGTGGGACAGTCCTAGTCTGTCTAGGCTCAGTCCAGCTTGCACCATACGGGACTGTGAACCACAGGGCACGAAGGAAAGGGCCGACCCGTACCAGTCAAGAGTATAAATCGAGGTGCAGCGCCCAACAAATGATTCACTCCTGCGTAAGCCTTGCGGAAGCCCTGCTGCAGCGACTTGTGCTAGATGGTCTGTAGGAAGCCTGGAGTTGAAAAGGGAGGCGAGAAAAAGAGAGGAATCATAGTGTAGAGGTAGAGGCGGCCCTCGCTGCCGTAACTGTAGAGGTAGTGCAGGGAGTGGGTGAGTGTGCGAACAATGAGTTGAGTAGTGTCAAGTTGAGGGTTGCGGACGCTGTGCACCACAGCCGCCTGATGTGAACTTGTATGTGGACTGTGTTCCAGATTGCCATAGCTTCGAACTTTAAGGATGAACGTTAGTCGCCAACTGCCGTATCACCCGTTTACGTGCACATGAAACAAGTGAAACAGCAAGTCTAACTGCACGGGTATCGACGCCAGTACCCACTATCCAACACACCGCTGGGCGTCGACTCGGAGGTGAAAGGAACCCCAGTGCGAGGGGAGTCCGCCATAGCTGCACTGCGGAGAAACAACTTGTACCTGCGCACAAGACAGCGACAGTGAGGGTGAGAGAGGGGTGAGTAGGAAAGGTGCACGTACCTGGGTGGCGGCAGTCTGCAGAGTCGGCAGCCGGCGAAGAAGGTAGTCTGCAGGGCCGACGGTCTGCAGTTTTGGCATGAACATACGCAATAGTTGTTGCTGCTGAGAGTGACTAGCGTGGTTGTGGCTGACTGCTGCACATTGCTGTTGGCTGCTACATACTGCGGCTGACTGCTGCGAACAGTTGCTGCTGTCTTTTGACTGTGCGCAATTGCTGATGTCTTTTGCCTGTGCGCGGCCGCTGCGTTTGTTGACCAGGCATGAATTGCAGCTGTGTACTCGGCACACGCTGCTGCCTACTTGATTGCTGCACTATGCTGGACATTGCCGCCAGCTATTGCCAATCATTATAGTCTGTTATACAGCAACAATTGGGTGAAGGAAAGGTGCTGAGGTTCAGAGGAGTGATTGGGTTTGAGGAGGGAGGTTAGTGATGCGGTTTGGGTGGTCGGCAGAGGGCTGGCCTTGACAGTTCGACTTCAGGGGCTGACCAAGCTGATTACATTGGCTGCCATTGCGGGGCCCTCAGGCGAATCAAGGCAAGAAGGCCCTCTCCTGGGAGTTGAGTTTGTACCCTTCTTGTACCTCGAGGGTCTCAGACCCCTTACCTCTATCCTTCTAACTCTAAGTCTAATCCTTTTCTGAGAGGAAGGCGGCAGGCGGGATTGCAACCTGTAGGACTGCAGCAAGACTCTGTGGGGAGTCCGCCCACCAATTGCGGGAGCTCTGCAGCAACTCAGGAGGAGTTTTGGAGGTAGGGAACTGATAGGTAACTATTGCTTTTCCCTCTATAAGCCCAGATTATATCCCCTATCTGTATCACTTCTATGAGTTGACTGAGTATTCTACATGCAGTTATACTTTGACTGTGGGTTTGACTTTCAGGACACAAGCCAGATTAAATAAAGGAATGCATGCGTAATCTTAGTTTCAGTTTTGTTGATTGACTGAAAGCAGATTGTAAAAATAGATTGCATCTGAGGAAAGGAAGGATGGGAGGCTATTTTGTATGAGGTTTGACTGGGTCATTAAGGT